CCTACTTTTAATTTCTTTGCACAATCCCCTCTAAGTACTGCATGACATCCAGCCTTCAATGATTATTAAATATATCTAATGAAACTGAACTAACTAGCATTATGCAAATTACCCCTAATCTTTTGTCTCTCTGGAAGCATTGTTCATGAACCTCAGTGGAGTTAAGATTGGAATCCTCACAATGAAAACCAAAAAAAATTTCTTTTTTACTCTACTTCTGGAAAGCAAAAGTTCTACTTGCAGACAAAAGCAATGTGGTTGGTGGATAGGGTGATGGTTCTGCATCCGAAGACCTCAGATATGTCTGGTGCTACCCAACTGCCAGCCATATATAATCCAAATATCACCATGCCCATGTGATGGCTAATTTTAGATGTCAATTTGACTGGATTAAGGAATACCGAGAGAACCGGTAAAGCATTATTTTGGGGTGGGTCTATGAGGCTGTTTCCAGAGGCAATTAGTGTGTGAGCCTGAGTGGACTAAGTGGGGAAAGATCTGCCTTCAAGGTAGTCAGGCTGAGGGCCCAGAGAGAATTACAAAGGAGAGAAAAGGATTTCCCTTCGCTTTCTCCTGGAACTGGGACATGTACATTCTTCTCTTCCTGACATCAAGACTTCAGGCTCTATGGCCTTGGGAATCCAGGACTTACACAGTTGTCCCCCTCCTCCCCTTTGCTTTCTCAGCTTCTCAGGTCTGTGAAGTCAGCCTGAGAATTACACCACCGGCCTCCACAGTTCTGAGGATTTTGAACATGGACTGACCATGCTATCGGCATCCCAGAGTCTCCAGCTTGCTGATGGCTTGCCATGGGACTTCTCAGCCTCCATGATTATGTGAGCCAATTCCCCTAATAAATCCCCTCTCATGTGTCTCTCTCTATATCCTATTGGTTCTGTCTCTTTGTAGAATGCTAATACACGCATGTGCCCAGGGCTTCTGAAAAGCCAAAACACTGCAAGCATTCCCACTCTTCTCTCTTTCTTTCCCTTCTGAAGAAATTTCAAAAGTCTTCATATATTCATAATACAAAGTTAAACTTTAAAACCCTTTTCAGACATCTATCTCTTGGTTTAGACTTTGACAGGGAGGAGTCAAAGTCTCTTCTCTGTCCCACTCACTTCCTCCCACACATTCTTACCTACAGGCAGCCTGCCGTTTCCTGCTAGTAACTCTCTCCTGCAGACACAGCCCCTTCATGGCTATTCTGGAATCTGCCCATTACCTCGACTCTGCACACCAGCTGCAGTGAGGAGGGAGTCTCTTAATCTTTCCACATTGATCCTCTTTGAATCTCTAATCTTCTCCTGAGTCTTCATTTCAGTATCTATGAATTGGGGATGCTACCTGCCTAGTCTACTCCATGATTGTTCTCAAGGCTCCATGTCACATTAGAGGCAAAAGTACTTTTAAATATGTTAAATTATTTTAAGCGCAAGTCATTATTTTTAAATCAGGTGTTTTTTTTGTTTGTTTGTTTTGTTTTTTGGTTTTTGTTTTTTCACACTCCATGAACTTCTCTCAGGGAGAAAAAGTGTTTTAAGTTCTTCCATCTTGGAGCATTTGTGGGTGAAAAGAGAGCTCTGCCTGACCTTTGTGTCTCCCTCAAGCAATATCCCTCTCTTTCTTTCCCTTCTGAGCCAAGCTTTTGGGAAGCATTGTTAGCATTCATTAGCTCTCCTTCCTAACCATCAGTTCATGCCCCACTGCTCTACTGCACTTCCTGTGCTTCTGTTAAGGACATCACTAGCTGGCAACCAATCCAAACTGTTGTGCCCATCCCCCTTCCTTCCTTTGATTCCATCTCTCAGAGAGGGTCTCCTCTTACCTCTCCATCATATTCTCTTTCCCAGTGTCCTCTTCACTCAGGCCCTTTAAATGTCTGCATGACGCTGGGGTGTTCCTAATGATTGCACTAGGTACCAGCTCATCTTGAGCACCTACCATGCATCAGACACTTCACCTTCCCCACCTCACCCTCACAACAATCCTGTAAGATTGGTATCTTCTCCTCATCTTACAGATGAAGACACAGAGGCTCCAGGAGAACACGAGTGCTGGCCAAGACCACACACCCCATAAACCACGAAGCTACAATCCACACCCTGGGCCTCACTCCCCAGAGCCCGGCTGCCTCCCTCCTCTCTTCAGGCTTCCAGTTTGTAGCTTGGTTTTGTCATTTATTTGCTGAGCTCAAATCCTGGCTTACTTAACCTCTCTAACTGCCCATTTCCTCATCTGGAAAATGAGGCTAATGATAACACAGACCTTTTAAGTTGCTGTGAGGATCACTAGACAATGTTTATAAACTACTCAGCAGAATGGCTAGTGCAGAGTAAGCCTCAATCAATGTTATTACTACTTTTTATTGTGTTTGGTAGTGTTGTCTTTTCTCTGTATACACCCGCTCTTTGGTCAGGCTCACACACGGCTCCCAGCAGCACCTACATGTGAGAAAGTCCCACCCTCCATAGCCAACCCAGACTTCTCTACTGAGTGCTAGGTCCATATTCCCAGTCACTGGCTAGATTTTCTCCCCTCCCCTTTGATATCCCATGCACACCTCAAATGTGACAAAACTCACGGCAGATCTCACCTGCATCCTCCTCTAAACCTACCTCTTCTCTGACTGCCCTATGCTTGTGACTGGCAGGTCCCCCTAAGTCGTAAACTTGGGCTTTGTCCTTCACTCCCATGACTCCCTGGTTTCACTGTTTCGGCAACATTTGATCAGTTACTTAATCCTTCCTCCTAAACATCTCTGTGGGTCATCCACCCTCTCCTGGATATTGCCTTTGTCACTGCTGAGTCTGTCTTGATTTAAATTTTTGATATTTTACTAAAAAAATTTTTTGATAATATTTTGTTCATCATGTATTTGTGCACACATTTTTATTTCTAAAAATATTGCATTAAAATAGTATTTAATATTAATAACTTGGGGTTTTGGCACTTCCTTAAATTTTACATCAGAGATGAGTACCTCACTTGCCTTAACTTAGTCTTGGCCCTGTTGCCAATTTTTCTACCAATGCAATCTCCTATAGTATCCTGTCAGTATTGTATTTCTAAAACATAAGTAGCTCATGACACACCTTTGTTTCAATGCATTCAGTGTCTCCAGAGCTTTGCAATTCCACACCACCTCCACCCCTCCCCATGGACCCTCTGATCCAGTAATAGGAATCTATGTCTTTCTCTTAAGGTGGTCCCACTTTTACATCTCTGTGCCTTTGGAAACAACAATAGACTTTGGATAGTGATCTTTTGACTATCCTTTAGTTATCTGGGATGGTTGGAAGCTGGTTATCCTTGCAAATAGCTCAATGCTTAGACTTTTACTGATAAAATCTAAATTTCAATTATATTGTACCAAAATCCATCTAAAACTTATGACACATCTCTGTGGTCTTCCATATATAATACATTCATGACTTAAAATGCTCTTTATGACTCAGCCTCATCATGCTAAGCCTCAGTTATGGTACTTTTCTATAATCCCATGATGTCAACCTCAGGAGCCATTGAGATTTGTAAGCTGGTGCTATGGTCTAAATGTTCGTGTCCTTCCCAAAATTCATATGTTGAAATCCTCAACCCCCAAGCGATGGTATTAGGAGATAGGGCTTTGGGGGAGGTGATGAGATTATGAGCCCTCATGAGTGGGATTATTGTCCTTATAAAAGAGGTCCAGTGGAGTTCATTCACCCCCTTTCACTATGTGAGGACACAGTTAGAAGGCGCCATCAGTGAACCAGGTCTTCAACAGATGCTGAATGTGCTGGTAGCTTCATCTTAAACTTCCCAGCCCCCAGAACTGTGAGCAATACATTTCTGTTTTAAAAGCTACCCAGTTTATCGTGTTTTTTTTTACAGCAGCCTGAACTGGCTAAGACAGTCAGCTTGCCCCTAAACTCAATGTTCACATACAATTCTTTTTCTTGTTTGGTTGCATTCTTCCAGAGTATCTTCTTGTTCCTTCTGATCTCTGCTCCCTGCTGTCACTGGTTCTGCTTTTTATTCTTCATCCCCAATTGCTTGGCCTCATTCCATTTTCTTTGTCCACATAACTCCAGCCTTAACCTTGCTCTTTGTCACTGTCTCCACTGTCTGTGCCATCCCAGTACTTCTCTTTGTGGGTGCTGACAGGGCTTAATAATAAAGTAGCCAGGTGCGGTGGCTCATGCCTGTAATCTCAGCACTTTCGGAGGTCGAGGTGGGTGGATCACTTGAGGTCAGGAGTTCGAGACCAGGCCGGTCAACATGGTGAAACCCTGTCTCTACTAAAAATTCAAAAATTAGCCAGGCGTGGTTGTGCATGCCTGTAATCCCAACTACTGAGGAGGTTGAAGCATGAGAATTGCTTGAACCCAGGAGGCGGAGGTTGCAGTGAGCAGAAATCATGCCACTGCACTTATGCCTGGGTGACAGAGCAAGACTGTCTTGCTCCATTTAAAAAATAAATAAAAAACAAAAATTATAACCTTTGCCAACCTATGACTGTGTGTCTTTTGCTCTGCTAACAGATTCACCCATTTTATTATTCAATTGCTGTATTCTTGTCTTGTCTCATCTCCTTTTACTTCTGTATGTGCCATTGTTCTGATTAGTTAAGAGGTGCTGAACAGATAACTAATTATGGCAGTGTGAGCCACAGGATAATTCTCAAGTGATCTCCGCTGTAGCACCTCTCCACATAGGGCATCATGGGCAAGGTTAAGATGGAATTCTAACCTCGAATATCTAAGGACCTGACTCCGTTCTCATTCTCTATCCCTGTGCTCACAGAAAATGCCAATCCTAAGCTATTTGGGTGGGGTTCGTTGGAGAGACATGGAAAAGTACCCTGGGCAGTTGAAGCGTCTGTTGAATCTTACCCACATTTGAACAAATTCACTCTAACTTGACTTGGTTCCCCTTTAAAATAAGAGAAAGCAAGGACTTAGACTGCCAATTGCCCCCTGAAATTATCGTTGGGTGTGCTAAAGAGCTCCACGGAATGACAGTTACTTTTTATTATCAAGAGTTTACTTGTAATTGTAAAGTATAGAGAATATACATATATGCCAATGAATGAAGTATGGAAACACTAATACATTTAAAAATCCAACAGGCTCCTCAAACAACGGGGCTCAAGACAGAAACTGCTCAGAGAAAGATTTTCAAATAGATCTTTTTCTAGTGACTCAGATATTTGAGAAAAATTGGCATAAAGTAGAACCTGGAATCTTCTGTTTGCTTATTTTTCTGGCTATTATATCCTCCCTAAAAATAAACAAATAAATAAAGCAGGGGTCAGAGAAGGTACAGTACTTTTTGGATACTAAGTACGGATAAGGCTTTTGCTTGTTTCCATAGCACTCCCTATCCCTACTTTCTGTATCCTTGGAAAGAAATGTGGAATAATGAAAACAGCAAAAGGCTTGGAAGCCAGGTAGGCCCAGGTGTGATCTCAGCCCCACCCTTCATTCTCTGGGTGGCCTTGGGCAGGTCAAACTCTGTGAGCGAAAGGGTCACTGAAGCCCCCTTTCTGGAATTCCTTTGAGGTGTCAATGAGGGAGCACACAGTGAGCGGGGGTTCCCCTTCCTATCCCCTGCTCTGGGCCAGGGACCAGGACCTGATGTCAGGGTCTTTACCCAGCACTGTACCTACACGTGCTCTCCAAAATGGGACTAGGGTGAAATTTCTTGGCAGTCTGAAAATAATGGCCCAGGGAACGAAGCAAATGCCAAGAGCTGAGCCTTAGGGAATGACTAGTAGGCCCAGATTCTTGGGATGACTTCCTTCAAAGACTTCATTTGTTAACACCTTCCTTCCCTTCTTGTTAGTTTCAGTGGGAAGTAGGATTGGGGTGATTTGGAGAAGCAGTGGGGAATTTAGTTAGGGGAGACTCCTGGGTACCTGTGGGGACATAAAGAGGGATCGGTGTGGGATGGCAGGTGGAGGCCACGAGAGGCGGGCATAAATGCTACATGAAGGAGTTTGTTGTGGTTTGGTGGAAGAGGAGGAGGCATGCATGTGAGGAGGGGTGGCCGTGAGCCTGGAGCTGTCCTACAGGGCAGTTTCTCTCACTCTGCTGTGTGTGTATGTGGTGGGCAGCTTTGACCCACCCTGCTCTTAAGTGTTTCTGAATGCTAGGAGCGGGAACAAACCTGCAAGGCTGATTGGATGTCAAGGAACAAATATGTAAAGAGAAATGTATACATAAAAACCAAAAATCCCTGGGGCTTTGAATACTTCTAGAGCTCCTGGCCACCTTCTTCAGGACTGCAACTGACAGGGTTGTGAAGTGCTTGACTTTGTCCTTCTTGCAGGCGATCTGGGCTAAGTAGTGAGATCCAGCTGGCCAGGAAGGAAGGCATGCATCTCCCCAGGCCTGTGGCTCTCCTTGTACTGACCTTGCCGCTTCCTGGGCTAAGCAGCTGCAGTGAAGGTCTGTTGCCCTGAAGCAGTTATGTCATTTATTAATCCAAATTCTGAAAGACAATATGGTGCTAAAATACTTTTTTTTTAAAGTCATAGTTCCATTGTCTTAGTCAAAGCAGGATTATTACATGATTATTTTCAATTAAATATATTTGTTTTAGACACAAGGTCTTGCTCTGTCACCCAGGCTGGAGTGCAGAGGCATGATTATAGCTCACTGCAGTCTCCAACTCCTGGGCTCAAGTTATCCTCCTCCCTCAGCCTCCTGAGTAGCTGGGACTACAGACACCTGCCACCATACCCAGCTGTCTTTTCAGTGTTTTTAGGGACAGGGTCTCACTATGATGTCCAGACTGGTCTTGAACTCCTGGCCTCAAATGATCCTCCCACCTCAGCCCTAAATTCATTTTTTTTAATTAGCAATTTCAGGTATAACACATTTGGAATAAAATGAATAGTGATAAACCCCCCAATATTCTAGATTGTGAGACTTTCCTCCTGTTGTAATTGGACCACATTTAAGGACTAAATTGGAAGGAAGGAGCAAGAGGAGTCCTTGACAAACCTGCAGTTAAGCTCTCTTTGAAGAAATCACACAGTATGGCTCTGTCTGAACATGCTCTGTGTCTACCCTTTTTCAAAGGCAAGATGGCCACGTTGAGACCAGTCAGACCATGAATAATGGCCTAAGCCCTTGCCACCAGGATGGAGAGGTCTGAGCAGTACAGTGAACAGGCTTCGTCAGCAAAGGCTGATTCAACGCACCTCTCTCTGGATTCAATGGCATTCTTTCTGGAGTTAGCCCATTTCTGTAAGTCAGCTCCATCCAAGTTTGATTATCCTTCTTTGAATCTCTCCCAACAGTTTGATGTCCTTGCGGTTGAATAGCTGAAAACTTCACATAGCACAGCATTCCACACAAAACACCTTTAGAAACTTCTAGTTGAGAAGAACTTGGGTAAAGTCAAATCTCTCCATTTGATTTTGTTTGTGTTCCTCTCTTGGATTTGTCTTGGGCGTGTTACTGTCCAAATAACTGTTATCATCATCATTGACATGCGAAAATGACATGCGCATCCATGTGAAGAGACCACAAAACAGGCTTTGTGTGAGCAATAAAGCTTTTTAACCACCTGCGTGCAGGCAGGCTGAGTCTGAAAAGAGTCAGCGAAAGAAGATAAGGGTGGGGCTGTTTTATAGGATTTGGGTAGGTAAAGGAAAATTACAGTCAAAGGGGGGTTGTTCTCTGGCGGGCAGGAGTGGGGGTCACAAAGTGCTCAGTGGGGGAGCTTTTTGAGCCAGGATGAGCCAGGAAAACGAATTTCACAAGATAATGTCATCGCTTAAGGCAAGGACCGGCCATTTTCACTTCTTTTGTGGTGGAATGTCATCAGTTAGGCGGGGCAGGGCATTTGCACTTCTTTTGTGATTCTTCAGTTACTTCAGGCCATCTGGGCGTATAGGTGCAAGTCACAGGGGATGTGATGGCTTGGCTTGGGCTCAGAGGCCTGACAATTATCATCATCAACAACAGTTTTAAGAACTATAATAGCAGTAAAATTGACTTATCATTTTTGAGACTGGAAGTTTTGTTACCTGATATGGTTTGACCCTGTGTCCCCACCCAAATCACATGTCAAATTGTAATCCCAGTGTTGGAGGAGGGGCCTGGTGGGAGGTGATTGGATCATGGGGGCGGACTTCCCCTTTGCTGTTCTCATGATAATGAGTGAGTTCTCATGAGATCTGGCTTTTTGAAATGTGCAGCACCTCCTCCTGCTCTCTCTTCCTCCTGCTCCTGCCATGTGAGACGTGCTGGCCTTCTGCCATGATTGTAAATTTCTTGAGGCTTCCCCAGCCATGCCTCCTGTACAGCCTGTGGAACTGTGAGTCAATCAAACCTCTTTTCTTTATAAATTACCCAGTCTTGGGTAGTTCTTTAAAGTAGCGTGAGAACAGACTAATACATTACCTAAAACGAATTTTGGAAACAAATCAGCTCATTAAAAAGTGCAAGCACAGCCTCATACTCAGCCACCTGTTCACTGTGTTGCTGGGGTTTTTTTTCAATTTATTTTTTTGAGCCAGCATTCTTTTGTGGATATCAATCGATACTGGACAATCAGGCCTTGTGGTCCCTCCTCTGGATTGGCCCCCTACAGCCTTTCACACTCTGTGACACTCAGTGGCCACAGGCCACTGGAAAATTGGATGTGTGACTGAGTCTTTAAGAGGTGGAGTGACTTACTTTAATTCAGTAAGTCAGTATGTTTTAAATGCAGATTTTTCTACAACAGGAAAAAGCTGTTAAATTTCTTGTCTCGGCTCTGTCTACCACTACTTTGGAGGGGCTACAGGTATCAGTGAGAGAAACCAAAGTCAGATAATTCAAACTGGGGCATAAAATGTTCTGCTTGAGTGTCAAGAATGGTTCTTTGGGTGTGGTGAAGGGTTCATGCTTACATTTAATTTTCAAAATGTCTTTCTTAAAAATATGCCAAAAAGATACCTAGAAAAACACGTATCACTGATTGAAATATGTAATGCATTTAAATATACATACATACATATACACACACACACACACACACATATATGTTTTCATAATCACACTAATATCTGCCCTGCTCATACTGATGATGGTCAAATATTTTGGGAGAGAATATCTGGCAGCCTCCGTCTACTCATCTTTTCCTCTACAAAACTCTTCCAATACCCTGTTCTAGCTATGATTAACCTTCCAAACTTCTCAAACAGTCAGGTTCTGTCTCCACTCCACACATTGCTCAAATTGCTTCCACTGCCTCAAATATCCTGCTCTTCCCGCCTTCTTAACCTGGCTACCTACTCCTAGAGTTTCAGTGATCTCTTCCAGGAAGGCTTCACACATGCACACACGAATACTTGACTAGCATCTCATGCACAGATACTTGCATACTTGACTAGTACCTCATGCTTACCTCTATCAGATTATATTGACTACCGTGTATAGAATGATCTGTTTACTTATCTGTCCGCCGCCACACCAGCCATAGGGCATCAGGTTCACCAGGACTGGTGTCTTTATTGCTGCATGTTTCCATTCTTCACACAGCACCTGGAAAATAGGTAAATAAATATTAAGTGAGTGAGTGAATGAATGAATGGGATGAAGGAATGAATTCTTGCTACTGACTGGTGAATAACTGCCACTCATATCCACCTCCAATTCAACTCTCATGCTGGAATCTGAAATTGAAGGCTGGTGGACAGAGAATTTGGTCTTCCTAGGTAAAATGCAGCTACCTGACTTAACCATCCACACTCCATGTGGATGGGATAAAAACACCTAAGTCAGCCGGGTGCGGTGGCTCAAGCCTGTAATCCCAGCACTTTGGGAGGCCGAGACGGGCGGATCACGAGGTCAGGAGATCGAGACCATCCTGGCTAACACGGTGAAACTCTGTCTCTACTAAAAAATACAAAAAACTAGCTGGGCGAAGTGGCGGGCGCCTGTAGTCCCAGCTACTTGGGAGGCTGAGGCAGGAGAATGGCGTAAACCCGGGAGGCAGAGCTTGCAGTGAGCAGAGATCCGGCTCCAGCCTGGGCGACAGAGCGAGACTCCGTCTCAAAAACAAAACAAAACAAAAAAAAAACAACAAAAAAAACCTAAGTCAGTTTTTCTTGTCCTGGTGATTTTTGTAGCAGTTTGTAGCTCATTTTTATCAAGTCTAGATACAATTTTCTTTCATGTGCTATGCAGTCTTGGTTCCTGTAACACAAACCTCTTTAATCATTAGTCTGTCTGGTAGAATTTGATAGGGGCCATATAAAATGCTTCTCTTCATCTGCTAATAGCAATTTATGGACACTTACTATGAGCAATATACATTGCAAAAGACCAGAAAACTCACCCTCTGGTTATGATTTGGCACTGTAACATGATAGCCTGGAAACTAGTCTGATAGTTTAATCAGTGCTACGTGATCCTTATTTGTGGTTGGCTGCCTCATCAATTTTCATCTGGGAATTAAAATGGACTCTGAGGCAGATATGGCATTAATTATGGGAGAAATTGGTTGCAATATGCCTTGAGGTAAAACCCTTCTGATGGGAATCCAAGATTGAAAGAAAGCCAAATTATAAAAGGATGAGTTACTGAAAAAGGCAACTGTATGCATTACCGTCACTGCTTAGCAGAGAAAAAGGAGCTGATAAACCAGAAAGATTGCGGAATGACAGAAAAGTGAGAAAATCTCTAGGTCTAGCTCTCTCAAAAAAAGATTTATTCTTATGCCGAATGCATTATATTTCCCCAGATACATACAACATTTTCCGAAAGTGTGCTTCAATTAATAGGCAAGCAAGCATTAATACTAGTTGGCAGGGTCCCTATTTTCTTCTAGATTGAAATATATTTTACTAAGAACTAAATAGGGAGCGTCTAGGGACACCAAAGTTAAAATTCATTTTACCAGTTATATTATCAGATATTGTATCAATTTTCTTGTTAAAATACCACATTTTTTCCCCTGAAGATTTCAAAAACCTTCTTAGTTAACACCTTATTTTTCCTGTCACTGAATCTTGATAAGGTAAAATACAGAGGCAAAGTCGTAATAGAAATGACTGTCCCCCATTTAATATGCGAAAACTGAGACAAAGGAAGCTTAAGTTAGCGCATTGTTTAAAAGCAACGTATTTTTCTTCATTGGATACAAAACACAGTGAGCTATCAAGGAAAATACCAACTGGGAGTTAACACCCCTTCCCACATCTCACCCAGGAAAAGGTCAGCACTGTATTTTTATGAGTTGCGATGTGTTTACCCATACCCAAACAGAAAGTGAGGAGCTTTCGTGTTGCAGGTAGAGAGTAGCACAATACAGTGGTTAGCAACTGGGTCTGGAGCCAGGCCATGTGCACGCAAATCCTGTCTCTGCTACTTACTAGCTGGGTGACTTTACCCTTGGTCTCTATGCCTCAGTTTTCTCATCTGTATAACTGAGATAGCATAAAAGTACTGGCTGTGATCTTGAAAAGTAAGACAGATCCCTTCTTAAGGGGGAGGAGTTGCAGGGACTGTTAGGGGCTGTTCGAAGTAGATGAAGCAGATGTTCCAGGACCCCAGGGAAAGTTAAGGGTCCTAAGACCAAGAGTAGATTGGAATTTTGCAGGTTTCCACACATCTAGATGTGTATAGGACCCCAGGGAAAGTTAAGGGTCCTAAGACCAAGAGTAGATTGGAATTTTGCAGGTTTCCACTAGTAGGAGAGACCAAGTAGTACCCAGATGGGAGACGACAGGATACCTGAACCTGGGACTCTGGTTAGGAACCCAGGGGCCTAGAATTCCAGGGGCAGGTTTGTAGTTGATGGAGCAGATGGCCCTGGTGGGGCGTGTCTGAGTTTGTCTGCAGCCCAGCCAAAGCCAGAGGACCAAGCCTTGACTACACACCTGCAGCTAAAGGTGTTTTCATTGTATATTCCCACCCTTTACACTGTCCCCGGAAAATTCGTAAATAAATGCTGAGTGAGTGCAGCCACCGTGAACCAAGTATCTGGCATTTTCTCCATTTTTGTTTGTTTGTTTGTTTTGAGACAGAGTTTCACTCTTGTTGCCCAGGCTGGAGTGCAATGACATGATCTCGCTCACTGCAACCTTCGCCTCCCAGGTTCAAGTAACTCTCCTGCCTCAGCCTCCCGAGTAGCTGGGACTACAGGTGTGCACCACCACACCCAGCTAATTTTTGTATTTTTAGTAGAGACACGGTTTCACCATGTTGGTCAGGCTGGTCTTGAACTCACGACCTCAGGTGATCTGCTCGCCTCGGCTTCCCAAAGTGCTGGGATTACAGGCATGAGCCACCACACCCAGCCCTATTTTTGTGTTTTTAAGCAATCCCCCCAGCCCCAAATCTAGAAATCTTAAGAAGACAGAAAAACACAGAAATGACAGAGGATGTATGTCCCACCAACCAAATATGTGGACAGTCAGAAAGATTAAATTTGATTGAGAACAAAAAGGAAAATGTGCTTTTATCTCACTCTACTGTTGGGGACTAAAA